CCCCAAAACCCCAAAACCCCGTACTTATCAGATTAGTTGTGTTGGGGCATTGATGAAAACTTTCTAATATTAAAATTTTAATTAAATCTACTAATGATGAAAACATCTAGTAAACAACACAATATAATCGAGATTATAGGTGGTAAGAAGAATTTTCCCAAAGAGAAATCTCAGAGTAGTCAGTATCTTGAAAATAATCTAAGCCCTGAAAAGAAAACTTCAAAGGTAAAACCTGGAAAAGAAAAGACTCTATAGGAATCGCGAGGAAGAGATAAACTGTTGATTAACAACGGAGGGACTGTTATGAATGGGAATAATCTGATTCCAAACACACTGGTGTAGTAATCGCAGTTGAATTCAAAGTCGACCTCAGCCAGTTTGAAGTCCCACTCAGGTATGGAATAGTAAGTTTATAATTATTTTATAGTAGTCAGATATTAGAGTTTTAAGGAGCGCGATATGGAAATAAAGTCACTTATCCAAACTTTACAGCACAATAACAGTTCGAATTTATCTGCTGCTGGAAATAAAATTAGCCCTTAATTGCAAGATGGACAGCAGCAGGACCAAAGCTAAATATAATAGGTCAAGTAAGTTGGGATGCATAGTGCAACTAAATAGAGCTCTAAATTATAGAACGGAGGGGCTTACTAAATCAATAATTGAAACAATTCAGTTTCATTTAATCCCTATAAAAACAGCTCTAAGAACGTCAGCATACAGAAGTAAAAAAGGAGAGTGGAAAATTTACCCAGAACAGGAATCGAATATCCTTTTACGAAAGAGCGCAGAGTTTTCCTAAAGACTCATAAAGAATTTGAATTACTCAGTGAGTATTAGGTGCCACCCTTACTTTTAGATGAGTATATAAGAAATGATGGGGAAAGGGCAAGCGTGCCTCCTAATATGTACCCATGCATTTATGATTGTATTGAATAATCTCCCTTCTATGATGCTGACGACTTTAACGACCAATACTACGACGACAGAGAATTGATAGAATTACCTGAACCATAAGATTAGATTGAGGGAGTCATTAATGAACCCTATCAGAAGAAATATCTCTTCAATCCAAATAATTTGCCATATCAACTTGAAAGGGTGGGCAACTTTTACTCAGGATCAGCGACTGACTCAAGATTATTTGATAAGAAGGGAGTCCCTAAAATAAATAGATACTACGAAAAATTAAAACCTTATTATAAACTTAAAGACTCTATTAATGATAGGACTTTGATATTTGAAAGTAGATTTGAAAGTGGAAACTTAAAGAGAGTAACTAAAGTGTAAATTACTTACTTAAAATATGTTTTAATTTTAGAGGTGAATTTGAGTACGATTTGCAATTGAAAAACGATTATGGTACCCAGGGCTTTACCTAATGGTACTATTTCAAAGTATAAAATACAAGAAAGGATGTAGCATACAGGTTCAATATCATAAATCTTATGAAGCCAGAATCAACTTACTCAATGGGAATGAAGCCATTATTATACTCTGTTAAAGAAGCAGATAAGTCAGCTCTGGGTTGGTACAGAGATGGATTTAACATCGCATATTATCAAAATGCAAGAAAGAGTAAGTGAAAGAGAGGTTTATTATTATAGGAGGGAGTGTAAGTTTAAGTAGTTAATCATCAGCCTCAACCTAGGCGAGTTCATCATCAACAACAGGAGGATCTTCAGGATATTACGGGAGCTATTACTCCCTTACTTTCGAGATTAAGTTCAAGCGTAAGCACTAACATCTATTTAAATGACTATAGATGATTTGGATACTGTTTACTTTGCTCACTGTTACCCATATACTTATTCAGATTTATGCGATATGATAAGGAAAATATGCACTTACCAGAATAAAGATAAGATTAGAAGAACTGTTCTTTGTAAGAGTTTAGCTGGAAATGATGTTGAAATGTTAATTGTTACTAACTTCGATTCCTCTCCCGAATAGATAGCTACTAGAAAAGCTATAATTTTAACATCAAGAGTTCACCCAGGAGAGACGAATGCCTCCTATGTTATGGATGGAGTATTAGAGTACTTAGTGAGCGATGAGGATAAGGCAGCTTATCTCAGAGACACCTACGTCTTTAAAATCATACCAATGCTAAATCCAGACGGAGTAATAGTTGGTAACTATAGATGTTCCCTGAGTGGATAGGATTTGAATAGACAATGGATTGCTCCCAGCTGTAAAATGTTCCCAGTTAATTATCATACCAAACTCATGATGCGAAAAACTTTAGAGAGCAGAGAAATATTTTTCTTCTGCGATTTCCATGGCCACTCAACCAAAAGAAATATATTTATGTATGGCAACAACCAAGTCAAAGCCATAGATAAGCTCAAAGAGAGGGTGTTTCCTTAGATCTTTTCGGAGAATAATGAGAATTTCAGCTTTGACGATTGCTGTTTTGAAGTCTAAAAGTCAAGAGAGAGCACAGCAAGAGTTGTTATGTGGAGAGAATTCAATTTGTATAATAGCTTTACCTTAGAATGCAGTTTTTGTGGTCCTTCGAAGGGAGTTTATAATGGATGTCACTTTAATACAACTATATTAGATATTATGGGGACAGTCTTTTGTAAAACCCTGGCAGATTATACTGAGAGGGAGCAAGCTAATCAGCTATAATGAATAAATTAGAGTTATGCGATTACTATATTTAATTGTTGTTTCTATATTTAAAAGAAATGTCCATTCATTTATTTCTTTCTCTTACTATTTTTAATCACACCTACTAATCTAAATTACTACCTTTAATCTGGGGTTTTGGGGTTTTGGGGTTTTGGGGTTTTGGGGTTTTGGGG